AGGGCTTTTGTATCTGGGAACAAAACACTGCTTGGAACTGGCTCCCAACCACATGGTTAGGGGTACTTTTCCTCCCTTAGGGGTATTCCTAGGGGCACGGAGCGTGTCCCTACTAGTTCAGGGGGCTGGAAAGGGAGGAGAGAGCCAAGCATTGGTGTCTTCTATGCCTACTGTGTGCAGGCACTCTTATATAGGATGGGGCAACAGACTGACAGTTGGGGTGACAGAGGGCCCAGAGGTGGCTAAACCCTCATCGGAATCCAGTTCTGTTCTTCTCTGAGCCTTGTTTTCCTTATCTGTAGGGTGGGCGTATATTCCCCATCTCCAGGTGGGAAGAAAGGGATGATGTCCATAACCTGGTGCATAGCAGACATGCAGTCGATGGTAGTCTGTCGGTTGGGGTTCCTTAGATGCAGGAGTCCCGGAGGTGATGCCTAGTCACCTCCTCAGAGGCAGAAGAGAACCTGTGTGGCTCCAGATGAACATGCCTGTTTTTCCAGAAGCTTCCCAAACAGAACTCCCCTCATACGTCACTGCCTGTCCTTGAAGCCGCCACCGCAGGGGAATGGGATGGCCATGGTGGGCCCCTAGAGCTGGGCATGGGAGCGCGTCCCTTGAGTCACTCAGTGGAGGGTGGCTGGGGTTCTGCTACACGAAGGGGGGCAAGGGTTGATGCTGAGGCCGACAGCAATACACGTCACTATTCTCACCGAACTGCCCTGCACATCGTAGGGTTGCAGCCCTGAGCTCTTGCTCTACAAGGCAGCTGGCCCCTGGAATCTTCGGGGCAGAGTGGAGTGAGGGAATGAGTGGTGGGATCGGGGATCTGGGAGCTCAGGCCCTGTGGGGGTTATCTGAGGAGGGCAGAGAGAAGTCACATGCCCATAGAGAAACCCTACCTGCGGGGGGCGTCAGTGATGTGCCTAAGCCTGAGGAGCTGTGGTCGGCACAGAACCTGCGGAGGGGAAAACTGGCCTTGCACAGTGGTCTGTGGCCCGTCTAGACCCATGTGGAATAGGATGATGGGCCCCAGCCTCAGCCGTCTGCCTCCTCGCAGCCTCTCCCAGCTCCGAGCCCAGGCACTGACTGAGCACTCCCAGCATGCCAGAGCATGAGCTCCGGGCATTCTGGGAGCGAACACAGCGATTCAATCACCAACCCCGCTGATGGGTGAGGCATGGTAACAGGAGACAGTGGGAAAAGGAAACTGTGCAGGGGAGAATCTCAAGGTGAGGGGTGTGGTTACTCTCAGGTAGCCAGCCGGGAGTCATTGATGGTTTCTGAGCAGGGGTGCCCTCCACAAAAAAGATCTAGCAGCTGCTAGTGGGGATGGAAGAGGAAGGAGATTCCAGAAGCAGCATGACCATAATTGCTGTCTCTCTGGGGATGCATTCAATTGTAAGGTAATGGGCTTAAACCCATAGAGGGAATTTGTTGGTTTGTTTAACTGGAAAATTCAGAGATAGATTGACCTCTAGGTTTGGCTGAATTTGGTGGCTTAATGATGCATTGCAGACTTAGTTTCTTTTGTCTCTCAGCTCTGTCTTCCCTGCTGTCAGCTTCATCCCAGAACTGCCTGTCTCCCTTGGGACAACAATCTCAGAGCCCTCTCCTCACTGGGGGAAGAGGGACTTGTTTCCAGGAAGTTCTCTCAAAGGATCGGGATGCTTTTTCTTCCAGAGCCCCTAGAACTGCCTTCTCCTGTCTTATTGGTCTGAAATATATAGCTGGCCCATCTTTGAGCCAATAACCTTGGCTGCTTAGGTTAGGTCCAGGCCATGTGCCATGACTGAAAATCAGGTAGTTGCCAAGAAACAGGTGTATATGGTGTGGTGTCCTTCTCCAGGGGCCAGCATGGGATGGGCTGCATGAGGGAGAGGCGAGGAGGCTGGGGTAGGGTGGTGGGAAGAAGAATGGAGAGGAGAGAGTCTAAAGGGCTCAGCACTGGTTTCGGGGGTGAGTGGGTAAAAGGGAACTCACAGTAGGGTGCAGCTACGGGAGGGGGAGGAGCCCCTCGACAATCTCAGAGTGGAATAATTCCTTTGTGATGGAGAGAATGGTTGTGGTACCATGAGCAAAAATGGAAAAGCTGAGAAAAAGAAGAAGTTTGAGAAAAGGCAATGAGTTCAGGTCCGTCACGTTGAATCTGAGGTACTTGTGGACCATCCAGGTGGAGATGCTCACTGAAATTAGATGTGTGAGCGGGAGAGGCCAAGGCCAGAGGGGTATGGAAGTTCTTGACAGAAGGGGGCCAAGGTGGGACCCAAGGGAACCCCAGCTTTTCGGATATGGGAGGCAAAGCAGAGGGAGTGAAAATGTGCCTGACAAAACCTTGCTGAAAATCCCCGTGATCGTTGTGATATGCAAGCCCCAGTGACCGTGATGAGCCAGCACCACCCACACCACTTCCCCCCACGTTAAACCCTGCTTGTCAGCCTGAACACATTGACTGTGCACCTCTGCTGGGTCCTAGGATCTGCTGAGATGCCCCGACATAGAGAACTTGGCCCTGGCTATGGTTTTCAGTATGAGAGCATCCTTCATTCTTTCCTCAACTACTTCCTGATCGCCTATAGGAACACCTGTATGCCAGGTGCTGAGCAGGGTGTGGGGACTCCATTGTGAACATGACCTAGACTTTCTTCTTGAGCTGAGGCCTGTGTCCACAGTCAGATGGGAAGCTCTCCAGCAGTGGAAACCATGTCTCCCTCTGTCCTTGATATTGATTCTAGCTGCTACCACCAGGAAGTTGGGTTCTGGATAACACATCCCTGTTTTCAACATTTCCTGATACAGAAAACTGGTGAGTTTTCTCCTTAGGCTCCCTTGCGTCCTGAGGCAACAGCCCCCGCTGGCACAGTCCCCCTTCATTTCCAGCACCCCGCATCATCCTGTACTCACCACATCCTGAGCTACCTCATCCCCGTCTTGTACCCATGGTCACCTGTACCTTGCACAGGACCCCGCCCTCCGTGAACTTCTGTCATCTGCCTCCTTCAGTAACATGTGTGTTGAACGGAGGAGTGAAATGGGAGGAGAGACGCTGACCCCATCAGCCTGAGGGGATCTCTGTTCTCCAAGTTTCCATGGCAGGTACCCGCTGTGCCCGTCTCTAGTGCATCAGTGCCAACCTGGAGTCTTGGGCTGCAGTCTTGGGCTCCCGCGTTAATAATAATTAGTGAATGCAGGGGCGCCTGGGTGGCTTGGTCGGTTAAGCATCTGCCTTAAGCTCAGGTCATGATCCCAGGGTCCTGGGATCAAGTCCTGCATCGGGCTCCCTGCTCCGCGGGGAGTCCACTTCTCCCTCCACCCCTCCCCCTTCTCGTTCTCTCTCTCTCACTCACTCTTTCAAATAAGTAAATAAAATCTTAAAAAAATACATAGATAAGATTTTTAAAAATAATAATAATTAGTGAACGCTAACTATAGGCCAGGCACTGTACCATGCCTTTGACGTGCCAGACCTCATTTTATCCCCAGAAAAAATCTGTGAAATAGCTTTTGTTTTTATCCTCATTTTACAGATGCAGAAATCAAGGTTTAGAAAGACAACTACCTTGCCCAAGGCACACAGAGCCAGTGAGTGGGGTTCAGAATTGGACCCAACCTGTCTGGTATCAAGACCTCAACTCAGAACCAATACCTAGAGCATCTCAAAGTTGGTCTCAGGCTGCCAGCTTTGGACTCACCTGAGGTGCTTATTAAAAATCCAGGTTCCTGGGACGCCTGGGTGGCTTAGTCAGTTAAGCGTCTGCCTTCAGCTCACGTCATGATCCCAGGGTCCTGGGATGCAACCCCGAGTGGGACCGAGCCCCGCATCGGGCTCCCTGTTCAGCGGAGAGTCTGCTTCTCCTTCTACCCCTGCCCACTGCTCCCCCTGCTTGAGCTCTTTCTGTCAAATTGATAAATAAAATCTTAAAAAAATATCTAGATTCCTGTACTTCCCCTGGGGTCTGGGGTGGCGCTGGTCAATCTGATTTTGCAGAAGCCGCCCTGCACTCCCAATTTTTGTTTTAAAGATTTTATCTATTTATTTGAGAGAGAGAGAATGAGCAGTGGGGAGGGGTAGAGGGAGAGAGAGAGAGAGAAGCAGACTCCCTACTGAGCAGGAAGCCTGATGCCAGGATGGATCCCAGGACCTGGAGATCATGACCTGAGCCAAAGGCAGATGCTTCACAGACTGAGCCACCCAGGCGCCCCGTGCACTCCTGATTCTAATGGGCTCTAAGGCTGGAGAACTGTGCCCTGTGTGCCTACCCCTTCCCCGCCCACCCCACCCCCCGGCTTAAAAAAATTTCTGGTGAGCTGTATCTTACATATAAAGGAGCATATAATACCTTTGTGTATAGTTCAAAGAATAATTGTAAAGTGAGCCCCCATGGGACAACCACCCAAGTTAAGAAAAAATACTGTCAGTGCCTTAGCAGCCCCTCTGGAGACCCCCACACAGCTCTGGGCCTTTCCCTGTCTCACAGGTAACAAGTCTAAGATAATAGTTTGTGATCATCTTCCCTTGCTTCTTCTTTATAACTTTTCCACCCGTGGGTTCATCCCTTGACAATATGAATTTTGTCTGTGAACCTCCCACAGATGATTTGTGTTTTGTGAATTCTAGTGTATCTGCTCTTTTGGCTCAAACAGACCTTGGTGAGATTCACCCCTGTTGATGCACGTAGCAGAGGGTTCAATGTCTTGCTTCCACAGCCTCCTTTGGAGAGCCGGTATCTTATGTTTATTTAGAGTGCCTGGCCCCGGGCTGAAAATACAGCAGTGGCTCAGTGACTGTCTGTTGCTGGCACTGGGGCAGGAAGCCCCTGAGTGGCAGTCTGAGAAGGACGTGGAGAACCATCAGGAGGAAGTGCCCAGCCAGGACTGGGGGCCCCCACAGGTGTACTGCCTGCCTCTTGCCATCCTCGGTCTGCCGGTGGCTCTTCCGTCACGGGCGATCTGGGTCTCCAGCTCCCCGTAAAACTAATTCCCCTGTCTGGGTCCAGTTTCAGGATGCCGAACTGGGGAGGAGGCAAGAAATGTGGGGTGTGCCAGAAGACGGTTTACTTCGCGGAAGAGGTTCAGTGCGAAGGCAGTAGCTTCCATAAATCCTGCTTCCTGTGCAGTGAGTATGCACCCCGGGCCCTGCCGCTGTTGCCGTGGGGACTGGGACAGGGCCTGTCCCCACAGGCTGGGCCTGTCAAAACCACAGGGGACGGGCCCCATGGGATGTAAACAGCTTGACATTTGGCTGGAGCACAGCTGGGGAGGGAAACACTTACAGGCCTCTTTGTTCCTCTCAGAAGCTGCTTTCTAAGGGGAGGAACTGGCTAGAGCTGGTAGGGGCGGCAGCCGCTCTGGAGCGGGGAGCCAAGCTTCCAGACTTGCTTAGGGAAACTTTCCACTCTGCTTTCTCTTTCTCTCCCTGCCACAATGCCATCATTTAAGAGGAAACCACTTTGGGCCCAAAGTTTTACCCAAATTTGGACCCAAATGATCCCTTGTTAAAAGGTGAGAGAGGCTGCAACTTTATGGGGACACTGAGCCTGGAAGAAGAGCTGGGTTCTCCCTTCTTTGGCCCCTCTGAAGTGACCAGACCAGCCTGGTCACTTCCCTCACCTCCCATTTTGCTCCAACAGCCTGGGATAAGAGGTTGATGAGCAAACAGATCTTTGACATCCACCCCCAGTAACCTGGAGCTGGCTCGAATCACAAGCCCGGGTGAGCAGGAAACCGGGCAACAGACAGCAAGCAGCTGGGAGCCATCAAGTGGCTCCAGGAGTCCTTGACCCCAACGGTGTTTTCAGAGCACCCAGGAAGCGGTGCCTCGAGGAGGCGCCCCTCCCCCCATTTCTAAATGATTTGGTTCACTGTGATCAGAACAGAGGGTCCTGGTCAGAGGAAGAGGAGTTTTCCGTGAGGGCAGACAGAGCCGGAGGCTGGGGAATGTCTTAGTTAAGTCCTGGGTTTCTGGAGCCAGTCGGGCAGGGTTTGAATCTGAGTTCAGTTTTGGTTATCTGTGTGCTGATGAGCAAGTTACTCGGTTTCTCCCTAGCTGGGTTTTCTCACGATTACAGGGGAGCTAATAATACTTACCTCATGGGGTTGTTGTGAGAACGAACAGAAAGAAGCTTGGAAAACAAAGTACTTAATGCAACTGTGAATGTTCGATAAATGATAGACACTGCCCTGGACACACACACACGCACGCACACACAGGCACACGCGTGAGCATACACACGCACACACAGGCACGCGTGTGAGCACCCATGCACACACAGGCACGCGCGTGAGCACACACACGCACACAGGCACGCGCATGAGCACACACAGGCACACGCGTGAGCACACACGTACACACAGGCACGTGCGTGAGCGCGCACACGCACAAGGCACGCACACACAGGCGTGCACACACATGCACACACAGGCACACGTGTGAGCACACACACGCACAAGGCACGCACACACAGGCACGGGCATGAGCACACACAGGCACACGTGTGAGCACACACAGGCACACACAGGCGTGCACACACATGCACACACAGGCACGCATGTGAGCACACACACACGCACAAGGCACGCACACACAGGCACGGGCATGAGCACACACAGGCACACACAGGCACGCACACACGTGCTGCTGAGGGAGCTGCAGACAACATGGTGTGGTGACATAAAGGAGACCTCATAGCCCATCTGAGAGATCCAGGAAAGGAGGTCCCATCCATCCCGTATCACATGAAGCAAAGTTGGGAGTGTCCGTGGCCACTTTGTTCCCAGGTGATTTGTGATCCAGAGTAGGAACCAGATGGACCAAGGGCCACCTGGTCACTGGATGTTCACCAGATCTCTTCCGGGCCACCCAGCTGGGAGGCACCCAGCACAGGGCAGCAGGGGCCCCCCCGCACCCTGCACAGCCAGCCGGAGTGGCCACCCAAGGGCTGCGTCTGATGAACAGGAGTAAATGAGCCCCAGTGGGGCCTTGTTGGCCTGTAGCCCACAGAGGAGGCCGCAAACAGCGGCTTCTTGTTATCAGCAGTTCACTGCACTGAGGAATTTTCAAGCCGTTTATTTTTTCAGAGGGTTCAGCATTGGCAGGAAGTGGGTCTGGGCTGCTGGGGTCCATAGGGCTTCTGTCTTTGCTCTCACATGTTGCTTAATCACTACAAGAGGCCAACTGAGAGGCCTCGGTCCTGCTCGTGGAGGAGTAGCTGTTGGTGGCAGTTGGGGGAAGGCAGGAATTCAGGGGGTGGCATAGGAAGAAGGGAGCAGTCCTGGGGCAGGGCGCGAAGGGGTGTAGAGGATTAGAAACAGCTGTGGAAAGTCAGGCTGGGGAGCAGGCTGGGAGGGGGTGTTATGAAAGTAACAGCATAGGGAGCAGTCTCGTGTCGCCCTGGGGTCTCCGGGCCAGCCTCCTGGGTATCCGAGCTCAGAGAGGTCCCGGCAACCAGGTGTCTCCACAGCTTGCCGATTCCTGATGCCAGAACAGCACTGAGCACACAGCAGGTTGTTGATGATTTGTTTATCGATGGAAGGAGCATCGCTTCTCTCTTTCAGAGAAGTGGGTGATAAGTGTCCAGCTTGAATTCAAGAATTTAGAACGACACTGAGAATCAAAGGACGTTTCTTCCTAAGTTTCTTCTGAAGGCGCTTTCCTTCCTAAGGCTCACAGAGTATGGGCCTACGTGGCATTAGGGCCATAGTCCCTTTGCTGTCTGGGCCTCTGACCATTCGGGTCCTTGGCTCTGGCTTCCAGTCAGTGTGGCACCTACATTCCCTTTCCTGAGGGCCTGAGACAGACAGGTGGAAGAGAGGATGATGTAACAGAGTCAGGGAGAATGGCCTCTGCCCTGGGCTTGGCCTTTGACCTGGAAGCAGGAACAGAGAAGGCCTGAAGTCTACTCCGGTGGCCTCAGTAGGGGTGGCCAGCTCCTGCTAGCAGGCAGGAGAGCTCAGCTCTGCAGTTGGGGGCCCACCCTGAGGCTGCATGCCTTTCTCTGAACTGTAGCCAACTCCCTACTGGGCAGGTCAGGTTGAACAGCCAGCCCTGTGGAAAAGTAGACCTGGTCTGGCCTAATGGTGGTTGACTGATGAAATTGCACTGTTTTCCAGAACCCCAGTGCACAGGGGAAGCTCAGAGAAGCCCTGCACGCCCTCTGACACCAGAATCTCCTCACCCACAGGCTGAAGTTTGTTGTCAGTTTTCACCCTCTTGGTCCCACAGGCTTGGCCTCCTGAAAGGGACCTTAGGCTGTCAGAAAACAACCAGGTCTGGAAATCAGGCTTGGTTCTGACCTGGCCCTGCTTCTGGCTAATTCTGTGAGCTTGAACTTCTTTGTGGGCCTTGGTTTTCCTTCCAGAGAGAATCCCTCTCTGTTTTGGGGTGGGGTGAGGGGGGCTCTGACCTCTCACCTGGGACTGCCTCTTGCCCATATTTCAAAATAGCATCAGAAGGCCTCACTGAGCCTGTGGCATCTGGAAGGACATTTTTCCAACAAATGCATAACTAACCATACCTAAGTCTTTTTTTTTTTTTTTTTTTTATCTTAACATTATTTGGTAGAAATTTATTTAGGCCTTCATTTTTTTTTTTCCTCAGTTGAGTTTTTGGTAGGGCCTCCAGGTGACCAGACTATATTGCCTGGATGGAGGTAGAAGGGTGGAGGGCCTGGGTAAGGTGTTGAAGGTGGGCCATGGTGGGCAGGAGGGCCAGGGGGAGAAAAAGCAGGGCAGAAACTGACAGGGAGGTCTTCACACCAGATCTGGAAGTCAGGGATCCGTTGGCACTGCAGGGAGCCGCCTGGAGGTTAATGACTGGTAGGCCCTGCTGTCTCCTCCGGGCTGAGCTCTTGGGTCTCCTGCATGCAAGATCACTCAAAAGAGCCCTCTGTTTCCCCAACTGTTCTTGTCTCTGCTTTCTGCCTTCCCTCTGGTTTTGGAATTCTCAGTTCAACTTGGGTCTTACAGGAAGCAATTCCAGGCCAACTCCTGACTTCCCGCCCTAGAAGGGAATGTTGGAGCCCTTGGCTTGTTGTTCCCTCTCCCTCCTTGCCAGGAGCTAAACCCCAGGGGAGGTGGTGGGAAGTTCCACATTTGGGCTGCCCAGAACACTGGAATGGGGTGAGGATCTCAAGGGCAGGACTAGAGGGCCCTTATTTAGTCTGAAGTCTGCAACCTGGGGCTCAGGGTAAGAGAGGAGCTGGCAGAGGGCCAGACCCATTAAAGGCAAGAGGACTGCAAGTTGCGCGGAGCTGAGCTGAGAGCCGGCTCAGGGGGAGGTGAGAGGCACGGCTCCTCTAGTGGTTTCTGGAAGGCTCCCTCTTCAGAAGGACGTGTTTGAGTCTATGGTCCAGTTGGGCACACCCAATCTCCATAGTGAAGGGGTATCACAGAACCAAACTGGGACTGTAGGATAAGACCTAAGCAGATAGGGTGAGGATGAGCCTCTTGAGAGAAGTAGGTGGGGGTTGGGAGCATATGATCTTTTGAGGCCTGGGCCTGTTCTTCCTCCTCCCTTGTGTCCCCGTGATAGTAACTTTACATGAAACTAATAAGAGTAGCCAACATTTATTATGCACCTACTGTGTACAGGGTATTGTGCTAAGTACTTTACACGTAAGATCTTATTCAGTTTTCCCCACCACCTTTTGGGGTAGATATTATTGTCTGCATTTACAAAAGGAGACCCGGCTGGCTCCGTTGGTAGAGCATGCAACTCTTGATCTTGGGGTTGTGAGTTCGAGCTCCATGTTGGGTGTAGAGATTACTTGAAAAAAAAAAAATTAAAGACAAACAAACAAAACCCCCGAAAAGAACCAAGTGGAGAGATGGAGGCTAGAAAGGGCAAATAACCTGCCCATCACACAGAAGTCACATAGCTGGAAAGAAAGAGAGTTGAGATTTGATTTTGGGCAGTCTGACTGCCATGACCCCAGGCTCCGACCATCTCACTCTGGATGGCTGGGCACAGCCCCCCTCCCCCCGACAGGGACAGGAAGGTATATGGAACTCACAGGCTTTCTGAAGCTCATCCAATTCCAATTGCTGATACCCCAGGAATCAGGAGTTCTTCCGAGTCTGACCTCAGGTCTTCCTAAGACAAGCTGGTTCCTGAGATCAGAACGTCCAGATACTGTTGTGATTAGCATATCCTGCATCTCACTTCAAGGCCCACCATGCTGGGTACTTAGTAAATATGAAACTTTTCTTTTCTTCTGGGTGCATCACTTCACCTGCGGCCCCAGCCCTCCCAGGCACGCATGGATTGTTTCTTCAGGAGTCCATTGCTGGAGGCAGGAAAACCCAGACGGTCTTCCTTTCTTTTTTCTTCTTTCCTGTTGGGATACATTGTCAGGAGCAGAGCGAAGGCCCTCAGCAGGTTTCCTGTGGCTTGGGGTCAGCCTAGGCTGTGGCCTTGGATGATCCCTGGGGTGCACCACAGCCTGGCGAGGGGTGAGGGTGAAGAGGACGAAGGAAGGCACACGTGGGCTCCTGCGAGAGGTGGCTCAGCCGACCGGCATTCCTAGAATGAGGCCACGAAAATCCCCTTCCTCCCTGCTCCCAGCTCCTTGGCCATCTGACTTCCATTTCCGTGCTGCTCCTGGAGGATCAAGATATTCTCTTCTCAGAGCGCCGGGAGAGCTTCAGCGGCGGGGTGGGTGGGTGGCGGAGGTGTTGCAGTGAGCAAGGAGCTCCCCCCCACTGCCAGCTCACCATGCTCCCTTCCCTCCCCAGTGGTCTGCAAGAAGAATCTGGACAGCACCACCGTGGCCGTGCACGGCGAGGAGATCTACTGCAAGTCCTGTTACGGCAAGAAGTATGGGCCCAAAGGCTATGGCTACGGGCAGGGTGCAGGCACGCTGAGCACTGACAAGGGGGAGTCTCTGGGCATCAAGCACGAGGAGTGAGTACAAGAGTCTCGCCACCCCCTTCCTTGAGGTCTCCCCTCCCACCCCCGTGTCGCACACATTTGCAACTACTTCTGGTTCAGCTGTGGAAGGTTCAGAAAGCCATTGATCTCCAAGGAAGTCCTAGAGCCACCCACTGGGGGTCAGGCCAACGAGAGTTCCTGACGGTCCAGCGGGAAATAAAGCAGGCGAGGCTCCTCCCTGTGTGAAGAGTGCAGCCTGTATTTACAGAGGGGTTAGAGTGTGGAGGGGTGCCGAGAATTACTTGGTCCAATGTCCTCTTTTCTCAGATGAGAAACCCCAGCCCGGGCTCAGTGGCCTGGCCGGGGGTCCCACGGGCGCAGAGCTGGGCTCAGAAGTAGCAACACCGCCCCAACTGCCTCTTTCTCTCGCCATCTCTCACCCCTGCACTACGGGGCAGCCATCTCCCTTCCTTGGAAATGTGGCAGGGTTTCACTGGCACCCACTGACCTCTGACCTGTTGAAACAGTGGCTATTGGCAGTCTGCCTGGCCAGCATCTTGACCTTGAGGGGAATGTACAGAAATGACAGATGAGTGAGCACATTTTAGCCAAGGTCATTGCCCCAGAGGGAATGATTTGTCAGCAGATTTCTCCTGGAAAGAATCTAATAGGCAGGCTGCAGGAATGGGGAACAGAGGAGGGCAGTTCTTAGCAAATGAGCTGCTCACTGATGCCCGTGTTTTAACTCAGTGGTGGAGGGCAGTAGGATGCTTCGGTGAAAACAGCATTGTGCTGAGCCTGGGTCTGTCCATCTGTAAAATGGGAGAGCACCCTGGAGGTCCTGGTTGGGAGAGCCGCCCCCTACTGGTGTGAGATGAAGGTGGGGTCATGCCCACACGGGGCCAGCCCTACTTGTCTCACCGCACGTCCTTGCCCACACAGGGCCCCTGGCCATAGGCCCACCACCAACCCCAATGCCTCCAAGTTTGCACAGAAGATTGGCGGATCCGAGCGCTGCCCCCGATGCGGCCAGGCAGTCTATGCGGCTGAGAAGGTGATTGGTGCCGGGAAGGTAAGGTGGCTTCTGGGGAGATGGGCTGGGGAGACGCCTTCTTAAAATGTGGGTTCTAGAACTTTGTAAGTCGGCCCTGGATCTGATCAAGGGAGCGTGAGCACTGGGCTTTAACCCCCTCCCTTCTAGGGAAGGAATAACCCTTCGTCCTTGTGTGTGGCTTGTCCCTGTGCCTTCCAGTCTGCGAGAACTGAGGAAAGCACACGTAGGCTCCGGGGAGAGGTGGCTTGGCCAGCATGCTTATTCATGAGGGTAACAGGCCCACCATGGATGGAACTGATTATTAAATGCTTATGTGCAATTTATAGGGAGTTGTAAAGATCAATCTGATGCGTTTCAAAGGAGCTACAAGCCCCCTAAAAGTATATACAAAATTTTGTGGGAACGTGTCTCTTTCTGGGAAGAAGATCCACAATTTTCATCAGATTTTCAAAAGGATTTGTGATCCCCAAAATGTTAAGAGCCACTGGAAAATCCACATACATTCCATATTTTAAGACCTGGATTCTGGGAAAACATGTACATCCATGTACCCCCAGGGCAGAGATTTTCAAGGTTCAGGGCTGATCCAGAGCCTCCTGGGACGCTTTTGCAAACTATTTCTGACTGCCACGTATGCCTTCCCCTGTGGACCCCCAACCCCAGAGCACAATAAGAAGCACTGTAACAAGCCCCCGTCCCAGTGAGACAATCCCACCTCCCAGAGAAGCTGCAGTAGAGAAGAGGCAGGAGAACTGGTAATCCACCAGACTAGTGGTCAGAGAATCATGGAAGAGGCATCCTCAGTCTATGGCCAGAGAGGCCCAGATGGAGGAGAGACTCGGCCAAGGTCACATAGCAAGCGTCTGGAACAGCTGAGCCAAGAGCCTGTCTGCAGCTCTTCTGGCTTTGGGTCTTGGCTTTCAAGTCTTTTCCACCTTGAGGAAGGGGCCCAGGACCAATGGATGGGGAACTGACCCTTAGGCCACATCATCTAGACCATAGCAGGCTCCAACCTTGACAGTCACGGTTGGAGATAGGTATTATTATCCCCATTTTACAGATGAAGAAGCTGAGTGTCAGAGGCATTAAGTTAATTTGCCCAGATCTTCCAGTGAGGCAGTGGCTGGACTAGGAGTCAAGCCCAGGTCCCTCTAACTCGGAAGCTCGTGCTGTTACCACTGTTAACTCTGCTTTGGGCCACTTAACCTCTTTGAACCCATTTCCACAGCTGTCATGAATCCTGGCACCATGATTAAGACCCTGGACCCTAGGGGTGCCTGGGTGGCTCAGTCAGTGAGGCGTCCGACTCCTGGTTTCAGCTCAGGTCATGGTTTAGGAATCGTGGGATCAGCCTGCTTTGGTCCCCATGGTCAGTGGGCAGTCTGCTTAGGATTCTCTCTCTCCTTCTGCCCCTTCCCCTGCTCACACTCTGTCTCAAATACATAAAATCTTCAAAATGACTATAAAAAAAAAAAAAAGACCTTGGACCCTAGACAACCCTTAGTTTTGCCACTTATTAGTTGTGTAACTTGGGGCAAATTGTTTAACCTTTCTAAGCCTCCATCTGCATCTGTAAAGCGAAGCAAATGACAGTCACATCATACTAAGTTGTTTTGCAGAATAAAGGAGATACTGCACATGGGGCGCCCAGCACAGCCCCCAGCGCAGCGCCCAGGGTGTGCTCAGGACATGTTGGCCATTGCTGTTACTGTTGGTGCTATCGTTACTGTTATTGTGTACTTTGGGGGATTGTTGTGAGGTCAAAATGAAGATCCTTGCCATGGATTAAATGATATGAAAACGGGAGATATTAATCTTATTATGCCGTTGGTATCTTTTTCTGCTCATAGTGTCTCACTAGAAGATTCGAAAGTTATAAAAAATAGCTAAGAATCACTATGTTCATTACCCAGACAGGGTCTAAGTTAAGGCTGTAACTTCTGCGGGGTGGGGATAAGAGAATTTTATGTTCAAGCAGAAAAGGTTGGGAGAACCTCCCACCTCTCTTTGGCCTTGGCCAGGAAAGAAATATCGAGGAACAGGGGTACTTTTGGGTGCTGAATGAGTGAGCAAAGGGATCCAGCTTATTTGGAGGGTGGGCAAGGCAACGTGAGGGGTGGGTGGCGGTCCGCATGCGCTTCAGCCTGGCTCGCTCACGCCTGGAGAGCTGGTGTAGCAAACCCTGCTCCCCAGAGGAGGAGGCGAAGGCTGGGAGGCTGCTGAGGTGCTGGGAGGGCCTGCCTATCTCAGCTTTCTGGACTCTGCCGTCCGCTGTCCCCGAGGCCTGGGAGGAGGAGCCAGCGTGCATAGGTCAGGCAGCCAGGAAATCTGAGGGGATCCAGCTTCCTTTCTCATTCTCCAGCCCAGGCTGTGCTGAGGGAGTCTCTTTGACCTTAAAAGGCCTTGTTTGGTCCTGCCCGCTTGCTGCCTGCCCCTGGCTTTCCCGGGTTTGCAGAGCTGTCTATACGTCAGGGGCCTAGCGTGCTCAGCTGTTGCTAACGGGAGCAGGGTGCTGAGAGGTCCTCGCGTCTGTGCCGGCTCCCATCACCGTGTGCAAACCCAGGCCCTCCTCTTCCCCGGCAGGCTCTTAGCAGGTTCCTCTTAGACCCACAAAGGGACTTCTGTGGCCCCTGGAGAAGCCACACTCCTCAGGCCTTGCCCTGCTGAGTTCAGTGCACTTCATAGACCCCTTCTCCTTCCAGAGTAATACTCGATATGATTGGCTCTGGGCCTCCTCTGGGCCAGGCCTGTGCCAGGCACGTCACATTGCTCACGCTGTCTAATCTCTCAGCCACTGAGCCAGGGAGATACCACGAGCCCCCTGTCCAAGAGGGAGTGGCTTCCAGGCAAACAAGGAGCCCAGTGCTAGAACTTCAGGGGCCAGGCTGGCTCAGACGAATCCCAGTTGCAGTAGCCTGCACCGTGGCTGGGCACCATCCGTGTGTGGATATGCAGTTCTCACGACCGTTCTGCAGGGTGGGCAGGGGGGTCTCCCGGAGGAGGAAAGGGCAGAGGCTGTGCAGCTAGTAGGTGGCAGTTCCAGGACGAGCCTGAAGCCCATGCCCACCCCGCTGATCCCCAGGCAGGATGGGTCTGGAGAAGGCTTGTGCATGCCTGTGGGGGAAACAGCTACCCACCCCCTCACCTGCCCTTTGTGGTGCAGCTGGTGCCACTCACCACCCAGCCCCCCCAACACTTCCTTGAAGATGACGTGAGGTCGCGTACGGTCCGTGGCCTGCTTCGGCCACTGCCTGGCCCCATGGGCCACGTCCTCCCAGCAGGACCAGCTGAGCAGACTTCGGAAGCGTCTTAAACACTTCCACTGTCATTATGTCAAGGGGAATGGGGCTGTGGGGTAGGGGACACCCTCGTCCCTGGAGGCAACATTAACTTTCCTTCCCTGCACAGTCCTGGCATAAGTCCTGTTTCCGGTGTGCCAAGTGCGGCAAAGGCCTTGAGTCCACCACCCTGGCTGACAAGGATGGCGAGATTTACTGCAAAGGTGGGTGGTTTCACTTCTAATGCAAGGGTCGAGAGGTCTGAGGGGGTAGGGGGCTAACCAGTTATGCCCTTGCTAAACGTAAACCCAGTTCCTGGCCTTGGGGTCAATTCCGGAGCTTCTAGTGTGACCCTTCACTTTACAGATGAGGAGACAAGCCCGGAAGGAAAAGTGACTTGGCCAGAATCATATGGCAGATACGGGCAGGATGGGGCCAGGACCTGGGTTCCTAACTCCTAGTTGGTTGCCCTGACAGCAGATAGTGCTTCTCCTATAATTTCAGCAGTAGGGGAAATGGCTATAATGTGGAGCCAAGAACTTCCTCACTACCAGGGTTCGGGGTGCTACAGAGGTGAGGGGCGCTGGGTGGATTTTGTGCTCTGGAGGCCTGGCCAGGTGCCCAGGGTGGAGGATCTTTGGTGGGAGGGCTGGGAGGTGTGGCCGGGGGGAAGAGGAGCCAGGCTTACCCCTTCTCTCTCGGCAGGATGCTACGCGAAAAACTTCGGACCCAAGGGCTTTGGCTTTGGGCAAGGAGCTGGGGCTTTGGTCCACTCTGAGTGAGGCTGCCGCCATCCACCGCACGCTGCTCACTCCTGTGCTTTTCATCGCCATTTCCTTCCCAGCAGCCTTGGCGACCTCCAGGATCCCTCCTCCCTCTCTCAGCCCTGCCACACATCACTAATGACTTGAACTCGGGTGTCTGGCTCCCTCTGGCTTGGAGTCGGCCTGAGATCCCACTCTTCTACGGGGCTCCCTCTTCCTGGGACCTGACACCATCACCAGCAGGAGACCTCAGTGTTTTAGTGCGGGTGGGACTGGGCCCTTCTCCCCACACCCCACCCCACAGTCCTCTGTTCTTAGCCTGTTAGGCTGAGTGTCCGTCATCAACCTGCCAAGATCCCTGAGCCCACATCTTGGATCCCAGAGGAACAGGAGGCCCAGGGGAGGGGGCAGCAGGAACAAGATGTGGCAGAGGGAGCTGGTGGTTCATTGGATTCTCCTCTGCGGGTAAGAGGGTGGGCTTCTTGGTGTCCCTCGGAATAGGCCTGGGGAGTTCCAGCTTGGGAACTCACTGTGGATGCAGAAGGGCATACAGACAGCGTCATGGACTATAGGAGCTACTTGCTTCTCTAGGCCTCTTGCCTCTGAGGCTCTGGGGACCCGGTGTCCTCCCCCTGGGGGTGAGGAAAAGAACTCAGGTCTGAGGAACCAAAGTCAGGATGTGGTCTGACCTCCCCAGGCATCTAGTTCCTTGTTTGGCAGAGGCCTGGATGAAACACCTCCCAACACACACTTTCGTTTATCAGTGGCCCAAATCTGAGGGTAAATAGCTCCGCCCCTAACCCGGGTCCCGAGGCTGTGGTGATAGCTCCTCCCTGCCCCAGCACAGACCAGGCCGGTGCCCTGTTCCCACCACTCCCGCTCGACCCTCAGATGTGGAGGGAGGCACACACAGCCTCAGGCTTCATCTGGACATCCCTTCCCTATGTGCCCAGTCCTCAGGACCTGCCTGCCCACTCGGGGCCTTGCCCCCGCCACCCCACTCTGCTCCAGGGACCCTTCTCTGGCCTCTTCACCCCCCATCCCTTGCAGGCCCCAGGTCAGGAGCAGCAGGAGGAAGGGGAGGGGCTGGGTCTCGCTGCTCCCAGTGACTGAAAGGACAACACTACATGGAGCAGTCACGTGGAGGGGCTGCAGGCCCGAGCTGTGTTCAAGCTGACTTCTCATCTGGTCAATAAAGCTCTTAGAACAGAACTCTGGCGTCCTGATCCCGTGTCTGTAAAGTATGGCGAACTACAGGGCTGGAAGGGATCATTCACTGGAGCCATCAAATTAGCAGGAGGTTAGGTGGAAGTAAATATGGTTTGTTCCTGTTTTTCTAACGGCTGCTTACTTTCTAGTGTCTGTTCTAACTGAACCACACTGCCCGGAATGACCCGACCAGCCCAGTCCTGCTGCCTTGCCCTGTCTGGCAGCCCCCACTCCCACATCTGGGTGTGAAAACTGTGTGGGCTTTGGCATTTGAGGGGCTCAGCAAGGCCCCAAAGCTGTGCTCAGAACTTCTTCCAGCTTGGAAAACCCCAGAGTGGGAGGGGAACTCAGCCAGAGGAACTCTCATGTCACATCCAGAAAGTTTACTTCTGCCCAGGAGGGATGGCATGGAGGGGCCTAGCTCAGCATGCTGCAAGGTCCAGGCCCTGTCTTAGTCTATTCTGGCTGCTGTAACACAATACCATAGACTGGGTGGCTTATAAACAACAGAAATGTATTTCTCATAGTTCTGGAGGCTGGGAAGTCCAAGATCAGACGCCGGCAGATTTGGTGTCTGGTAAGGGCCTGCTTCCTGATTCATAGCCAGCCATCATTCTGCTGTGTCTTCACATGGCCGAAGAGACAAGGAAGCTCCCTGGAGCCCCTTTTATAAAGGCACCAATTCCATTCTTGAGGTCTTTGTCCTTAGGGCCTCATCACCTCCCAGAAGCCCCACCTCCCAATGCCATCACCCTGGGGATTAGGTTTCAGCAGATAAATTTTGGGGGGACACAAAATTCAGTCCATAGCATTCTGCCCAAACCCCCAAATTCATGTCCTTTTCACATGCAAAATACATCCATTCCATCCCAATCACCCCAAAAGTCTCACCTCTTTCCAGATTCAACTTTAAGTCATCGCAAAGCCTCACTCGGCGTCATCTACAGAAGATACGGGGGAGACTCCAAGTATGATTCATTGCAGGAAAATTTCTTCCCCAGCTATGAACTTGGGAAAAAACATGTTCTGTGTTTCTAAAATACAATGGTGGTGTTAGAGGATTTTTTTTTCCTTTATTGCCCGCAGTTCTTGGTCATGCTGCTTCGAAAAATGAAGAGGTAGATCAGGTGAAGAGTAAGTAAGCAGCAAAGCAAAGTTTATTGAGTGATAGTACAAAGCTCCCAAAGAGGTAGGGGGCCTGAGAAGGTTGCAGATTTGGCCTTTATGTCTAGGGGTTTTTATGGCTCATTGGCTGGCTGTGTTAATCTGATTACCCCTTCCTGGGCCTGTCACCCAATCAGGTTTTTATCACCTACCTATCACGTGGGAAAGGGTGGAAGGCTCCTTCCAGGGTGGTGTAAAATCCTTTTAAGGGTGGTTTCCTCTTAGGGCGGGAGCCCCTTGTCCCTCCCTGCCTGTCTTTCTTCCAACTATCCTCCATTAGTGGGACACACATAGGATAGACAGTTCCTTTTTTTTTTTTTTTTTAAGTAATCTCTATACCCAGCGTGGGGCTTGAACTTTTTTTTTTTTTTTTTAGAGTTGCATGTTCTACGGACTGAGCCAGCCAGGTGCCCCAGGTAGACATTTCCATTCTAAAAGAGAGAAATAGGAGAGAAGAAAGGAATGATGGGTCCCAAGTAAGTGCAAAACCTAATGAAGCAAATTCCATTAGACCTTAAAGCTTGAGAAGAATCCCCTGTCTTCTGGACCCACTGGGGAGACAACATCACTCCCATGGCCCAGCAGGGTGCTGCCTATGCCCCAACTCTCTGCCAGGGCCCACCCCTGTGACGGCTCCTGGTGGCCCCATTGTTTAAAACCTAGGTGGAAGAAGCCATGGCCCCCAAGCCCCTGTACTCGGGGGTCTGTGAGGGAAATGGCAGCCTTGATGATCCCTGAATCACCTTCTGGGTCATTCTTCCATTGTCTTGAATAGCACTTGGCTTCCGTTGATATGGCTGACACATACTAATCTTACCACAAAGTCACTTGGCCACACCCTTAATGTTTTCATTTTTTGCAATATGGATAGGCTGAGAATTTTCCAAACCTTTAAGCTATGCTTCCTTTTTGCTTAATAGGTCCAAGCTTTAGGTCATTTCTCTCTTCTTGCATTTTACTGTAAGCACTCAGAAGGAGCCAAGCGTATCTTCACCACTTTGCTTCGAGATCGCCTCAGGTAGATACCCAACTTCGTTGTTCACGAGTTCTACCTTCCACAAAACATTAGAATATGAACACAATGGAGTCAAGTTTGTTGCCCCTTTATAACGGGGATCACCTTTTGTCCAGGTTCCACTAACATGTTTCTCATTTGTTATCATGATGGCCTTTACCATCCATATTTCTACCAACATTGTGTTCAAAATTATTAGTCATTATTCTCTGAGATGACTGGGGTTTTCTCCAACTCTCCTTTTTTCTTTTTGAGCTCTCACGAGAATGTCCGCAGCAGTGTAGGTGTTTTCCTGGGGGACATTTCAGAACTCTTCTGGCCTATATCCATTACCCAGTTTTGAAGCCACTTCCACATATTTCGGTATGGTGTTACGGAAGCCCTCCACTTCTTGGTACCGATTTCTGTTTTTGTCGGTTCAGGCTGCTACAACAAAATATAAATCAGGTGGCTTATAAACAACAGAAATTTATTTCTTGTAGTTCTGGAGGCTGGGAAGTCCAAGATCGAGGTGCTGGCAGAGTCAATGTCGGTGAGAGCCACTTCCTGGCTCCTAGTGGTCTTTCTGCCCTGTCTTCACAGGTGGAAAGGAGGAGGGAGCGCTCAGGCTTCTCCAACAAGGGCGCTAATCCCATTCACCAAGTCTCCGCCCTCGTGACCTAACCACCTCCCACAGGCTCCACCTCCTAATACTTCACTTTGGGGGTTAGGATTTCAACATAGGAATTTTGAGGGGGACACAAACATTTAGTCTGTGGCAGGCCCCCACAGCCTGCCCCACGGAAGGTTGACCTTATCTGTAAATACAGAGTTCATCTGAGGGGTTGCAGTGTCCTTCATCCTAGGGATGCCCAACAAAACACCAAGAAGCAGAGACTTGAACAACAACAGGCCTTGTATGCACAATGTCCAGATGACCAGATTCAACAGTGGCCTTGACAGACCCCTCTCCATGATTGTGAGAGTGGGACCTAAACATTTAAAGACCAATTAATGGTGCAGAACACTAGGTAAGTGCAAGGTGACAGGTAAAAGAGCTGAAGGAGAATGCTGCTGCAGGCTGTGAGTTCCCCCCCTGGGGGCCAGGTCACATTCATCCTGATAAATTCTCTAGGTCCAAAGCAGGATGTTGCCAACGGGAAGTTCTCCAGGAAGGGTTTGTGTATGGGGGAGGATGGGTGGATGGATGGAAGGCTCTACAAACTGGGATCACGGTCGCCTCTGGAAGGGACCTATAGGAATGGCCAGGATGGGAGCCCTTAGGGCCCAAATCTGGAGATAGGCTGCCCCCTGCTGACTGCTGGAGGTGGGTGTTTGGCACCCCAGCACAAGGCCATCTTCCGAGCTAGCCTCTCCGACACTAGCTGTCAAACTCTGGGACAGGGGTCTTCCAGAGCAGCCCCATGGTGGGGAAGATGCTGGACGCACCTCCTGGGAGTGAAACCGGCGTAAAGGCAGAGGGCTGTAAGCGGAGGTGACTGGCCCGGAAGCACCCTCTGGACAGTGTAGGACGGGGTGGCGCGGGAGGGCTCCGAGGGAAGGGAGGGGAGGGCCCCCCGGAGGCCAAGGCGCCTTGGGAAACGGAGAGGCCCCCAGCAGGGAGGGGGCTCTTTATCCGCGCGCGCAGCGCTGGAGCTGTACCCGGAGACACCAGGTGGCGCTGTGAGGTCCGGGCATAAGGCGGGCGTTCCCTTTCTGCGGATCCCGCACCCAACTCCTTTCCCCCTTGGCCCGGGGTACCTCGATTTGTGCAGCGAGAGGGCTCTGGCCTCCAAACTCTGGATAATAGTTTCCCACTGGGGGATTTGCACTCTGTAAGGCCCTGCGGTATATCCACCCGTAGACTTGACCCAAGGGAAGAGGGGGAGCAAGGATCTTTGTGTTCCCTCGGGTATTTCTTTCCTCCTTTCTGTGATCGCTGAGCTAGGCGTCCGCAGCGCCCTCAGGAGAAGCAATGCCCTGGCTGCAGGATGGTCCTGATGTGGGAAAGAACTGCTTCTCCGGAGGGCAGGCCAGCCCAGCCCCCTGGGGCTT